GAACACTACAGGCAATTTAACATGGCCAATCCGCCTAACCTGCACATCTTTGGACTGTGGGAGGAAACCGGAGCACCCGGAGAAAACCCACGCAGACACGGGGAGAATGTGCAAACTCCACACAGACAGTCGCCCGAGGCTGGAATCGAACCCAGGTCCCTGGTGCTGTGGGGCAGCAGTGCTAACCACTGTGCCACCGTGTCTATAATTACAAGTTGGAACATTGTCCAGGAGGCCAAATGCAGATGCATTGCGCCGTCTCCGATTGGCAGATACACAACCCGTGGTATTGCCACTAGAAAGGTCCATAATATTTTTCAATTTCTCGGTTACACTTCCAGTCACAGCTGACAATATCAGATGCAGAAGGATCAAACTGAAACAGCTGGTGGTGAAGGGGGAAACTAAAAGGGCCGGAACTGAAACCCTTTTTGGACCCAGACCAGATCGCAGTAGAAGGTGGCTTTTTGTTATGGAGAGCAAGAGTGATTGTCCCGAACAAAGGTCACTGCCAGGCACAGGCTGACCTCCATCGGGGTCATCCAGGAATTCCAGAAATGAAGATGTTGGTGAGAAGTCATGTTTGGTAGCCAGGATTCAATGCAGACATCACTGCGTTGGTGGGGCAGGGCCCAGGGTGCCAGCAAGTATAAAAATTACCGCCAGCAGCACCCCCACATACGTGGGAATGGCTGAGTAAACCCTGTACTTGGTTATCCATCAACTACGCATCAATGTTCTTAGTCATTGTGGACGCTCACTCAAAATGGCTGGATGCACACAGAACTGATTCAGCAAACATGGGGACGACGATAGATAAACTGTCCACATTTACTTGCAATGCATGGACTCCCAAAAGTGTTGGTCACAGGTAACAGCCATCATTTACCAGGAGGGAATTTGACTATTTCCTAAAGTTGCATGGTATTTGTCATATAAAGGACAACTCCATACCATCCATCATCCAATGGTCTGAAATAAAAATCAGCCCAAACTTTGAAGGTAGGCTTAAAGAAACAGCCTACAGCTTAACTAGATACCAAACTGTCCCGGTTCCTATCTGATTATAGGACCACGCCTCATGCAACTACAGGGATCGCTCCAGAAGAGTGGCTAATGGGGAGAAAAATCCACACCAGGTTAAATTTGATCTTCCCTGATCTGATGGGGGTGGGAGGGTGAAATGGCATCAGGAACAGAAATGCCTGACACAAGATTCCGCTAAGAAAGGGGACGACGTTTGGTGTAGGAACTACGGGAATGGCCCTGCACGGTAAAAGGTATGGTTGACATGAGGCCCGGTCCATTGACATATAACTCGTGGGTTTTACAACAATAGATGATAGCTCCAATGGTCACCATTATTGCAACTAGCTTGATATTCCATGTTTGAGATTTAAACCTGTCTTCTGGGCCTCTGGATTACCAGCCAGAGAAGTGAAAGTCACCTTAGTCCCTGGGGACCAAAGGCTGCTCTCTAAACAGAGAGACAAACTGTGGCAAGTTTAAACAGGGGGTCAGCCCACCTTAAGTAAGGGACAAGCTTGAGAATTTATGGCCTTTATAATTACCTCAACCAGTACAGAAATTGTTTGTTCATTGTTGGCATCAGCTGTATTACAAACCTGCCATCCTGTCAACTGAGCCAAAAGAACCCCATTATTAATCCAGCAATATTACCACTGGGCCACTGTATTAAACATCTCCTTTTGATATTCAATGATATTACCATAATTGGATTCCTCACTATCAACATCCTGGGCGTTACCACTCTTTCAATACCCATCCCCCAACCCCCACGCCAACCCCAACCATCGCATTAATGCTCCCCTCCAAACCACCCAGCAGCTTGACTTGGAAACATCTTACTGTTCCTTCACTGTCACTGGGTCAGTATCCTGGAACTCCTCTAACAGGACTGTGGGTGTACCACATGGACAACAGTGGCTCAATAAGGCAGCTCACCACCACCTTCATGGGAATTTAGAATGGACAACAAATTCTGGCCTAGTCAGCATGAATCCAATGAATGAATAATGTAAACAAAAATATTAACCAATACACAAAGATTTGCATTTATATTGCTTTCACAACCTCATGTCCTAAAGCCCTTTACAGCAAGTGAAGCACTTTTTGTCGTGCACTCACTGTAGGAACCAATTTTTACAATACAAGCTCCCACAAACAGCAATGACGTGATTAATAACCCTTTGTATTTGGTGCTGTTCAACTGAGGGATGAATATTGGCCCCGGGAAAACTCGTCAGCTCCTCCAAACACCATTTAGACCTTTTTAAATGGAGTAAACAGAGAGCCTCATAATACCTTCTCATCCAGGAGACAGCAACTCAGGTTATGCAATGCTCAGCACTGCACTGGGTGTATCAGCTTCGGTTGTGTTTAGGTCTCTGTAGTGAGACTTGATCCTCTAACCTTCTAACTCAGGAGGTGAGAAAAGCTACTCACTAAACCACAGCTGATGCTATTAACCACTAGCAGCACTTTAAAAATAGCTGGATAACATGCTAGCAGTAGCATCGTTGAGAGCGTCTTCCAGATCAGCAGTAGATTAATTTTCACCAGTTAATTATTCAGCATTTTCTGTTCCAGAATTTAAAAACTGCACTTTCTTTGGTTTCCTTCCTCAGTGCAAGTTCCTAGAATTTATTGAAGCACTGAAGTGTTAATTACTCTTGTCGATCCTTTGAACTACAGTAATGAGCCTGATGGTGCAGTAGACATTGTAAGCACCACTGAGAAACAACATTTGCTTTGATTGCCACTTGCTTTAATGCTGTAGATCACAGCTCACAGCCCAGATTATCTGAACCCATCTATTATGGATCACTTGGCCCTGATAACCTCCGAGTTCCTGCAACATTGACAATTTTATGCACCTTTTGGGCAAAAAAAAGGTTTTACATCTGAAATAAATCGTTAGTCTATAATTTCATAGTGCCTTCAGACACCCTGCAATCATACCTTAAGGAACTTGTTTTTAACATGGAATTGCTGAGGTCAACAAAATATTGAATTTAATCTACAATCAGTTGGTGAAACTATTTCATTATAAAATATACAACATGACATTGCACATACAACAATGCAAACAGGATTAGCTCCACAAAGAAATATAACACTTTTTTAAATAAGTGAACTATTATGAAAAATTGTCTCCAAATAACACAACACAGCAATTATTAATATGAAGCCAAAGTCTTATCTTATGGATGCCTGAACCACAAGAATGAGTTCAGTTCATACTAATTAAGCAGCCTCCTTTCTTTAACCTACTAGAATTTTACAGCACATTATTAGTCAGTAACAATGGTGAGCTGCAATGCCTCATTTCATTTAAAGAGATACTGCAATGTTATTTTGTGGCTGGTATGTGGTCCAGAAACTGACCACACCGTAATCCTCCAACACTCATGTAGCTCAGTGTGGAGCACACTCGCCCAAGTTAGAAGCTTGTGGATTCTAAATGCTCCTCCAGAGGTTTGAAGACATAGACCACATAGATATTAAAATAGATAATTCAGCCATTGTCTAACATCTGTTTGGGAGACCTTGTGTGGAAATTAGATGCTGCTTTCTCCAAGTTATAAATATGGAAATAGGAGGAGAAGGGCATTCAGCATCTTGAGCCTGCTCCACTATTCAATAAGATCACGGCTAATTTGGGTTTCGCATTTCATGTACCCCTCTACCCCCGATAACCTTTGATTAGCTTGTCTAACAAGAATTTATCCATTTCTGCCTTAAGAACATTCAATGACACTGAAATTTTCTGCCTCAGAAGGCAAAGTTGCACAGACCTCGCAGAAAACAAAATTCTCCTGATCTATCTCCTAAAAGACGACCCCTAATTTTTGAACAATGCCCCTAGTTCAGAGTCCATGCAAGAAGAAACATCTTTTCAGGGTGCACCTTGTCAATACCATTCAGGATCTTACAGACTTCAAATCAAGTCACCCCTCATCTTCTAACTCCAGAGAAAACAGGCAGCCCGTCCAACCTATACATAAGACAACCTATTCATTCCAGGCATTGATCTTGTAAACCTCCTCCAATGCATCCTTCCTTAAATAAGGAGGCCAACACAATACTTGAGGTGTGATCTCACCCAATGCAAATGAAGTGTAACATTCTTATGGTTATGTTCAATTCCTCTCCTAATAAAGGTTAGCGTCATGGTGGCTATCAGATTATAAACTGTACCTGCATTTTAATTTCATGTGACAATGCAGAGGCCTAGGTCTTTCTGCAGCTTGGAATTTTGCAATTGTTCACCAGTTAAGTAATAATCTGCTATTTTGTTCTTGCCAAAGTGAACAACTTCACACATTCCCATACTATATCTGCCAGATTTTTGCCCACTCACTCAACCTGCATATTAGTCCAAAAACTCCTTACACCTTCTTCACAACTTACTTTCCTACCTGGCTTTGTGCTGTCTGTGACTTTAGCTACCGTAGCTCAATCTGTTTCAAATGTAACTGCACATCTGAACATACTTAAATCACCATAATGAGCTTTGCAGCAGTCTGAGTTTCTTAAAAGGTGTTATATAAATAGTAGCTTTTCTTTCTCAGACATTTTACAATGTGTCTGGTGCAATGGCGATACAAGGCTAAATATTTTACAAGCTTCATTGTAAATGATTGACCCCAGCTAATGGGAAAACCAGCAGTGAAACCACTAGTTTACTGAAGCAGACCTGCAAAATTTCCATTGATGTCTTCCGCATTTTAAGACACGATAAAAAAAACCTGCACTAATGTGGGAACAACAATCCTGTTCACAAATGATTAAGAATTAATAGTTACTCAATAACTTGGACAAAACAAGGGTGAAGACTGAATCTGGATTTTAAGAAAGGTGTGTTATTAGAAACATCCCTCAAACACATCCTCGTTGCCAATTGGGAAGTAAACAGATATTTTGACTTGGATTTGGATAACTCAGGTGTTGCTCATAACAAGGAAGTGCTAACTCACCCTCTAGAAGCACCTCTTTGCCAGCTCTCTTCAGCACTTGCACTGCCTCATCATGTGTTGCATCCCTCAGGTCCACAGCATTCACTGATAAGATAGCATCCCCCACATATAGAGCTTCAGTCTTGTCAGCTGCCAAACCTTTGAAGATCTTCGAGATCAGAATTGGCATCTTGTTCTCCTTGCCTCCCTTGATGCTGATCCCTAGGCCCCCAACCTCTTGCTTAAAGGTAAAAAAAGAGATGCCGTTACCATTAGGATCAGTGAGGATCATAGTCACACCCTCCCTAATAGTGCCACTCTTAAATTACCGGAATTCTGAAACACACCAACATATTCCCGTTCAATGCTTGCTTTTGTTCAGGACTTTGTACTCCTGCCTCCGAGTTAGAAATAATGTGAGTTCCAGTCCCACCCCAGAGACTGGAGTCCAAAAAATCTAAGCTGGCATGGCACTTCAGTGGAGTACAGAGAGAATGGTGCTTTGTCAATAGATGTTAAAGCAAACACAACCTAACTTGTCTTTAGCTCTTGAAACTTGCATTTGCATAGTGCCTTCAACACAGTAAAACTTCCCAAGTGCTGCACCAGAGAGCATTTGCCACTATGGAACATAAGACAGTAAACCCAGTCAAAGAGGAGGACAGAGGGGTGGGGAAGTTCATGGCGAGAGCCTAGAGCTTCAGGCCTTCGAAGCTTAAGGCAGGACCAACAACAGTGAAGTGAAGAAAATTGGGGGTGTACAAGAGGCCTGAATTGGTGGAACGCAGAGATCTTGCACGGTAGCCAGACTGAAGGAGGTTTCAAACAAAGGGAGGGCTGCATGATAGAATACTCCAGATCAGTCCAGACTGAAGGACACTAGCAAAAGCCACTGCTCCTTCAACTCAATTCCTGCAGTTCTTGCTCAAAAAGAATCTGTGATATTGTACTCTGTGGGCACAGGAAAGGATTAATTGAGGCTCCCTCTGACATTAGATTATTTCAGATAATGCAAAACCTCAGAGACCACAAGGAAACAAACAAACTACTTCAGCCTTTGAAATAAAACCGTTGCCAGTGTAACCCCTAGCATGGAAATAGGGTGTGGATATAATCTTACTAGTGGTTTTCAAATCAAAATGAACAATGTCTTTGGAAAATACATAGATGCGAGCATAAACTTTTGACACACAATCGTTAACAATGTAGAATTGCAGGAGGAATCCACACATTAGGCTTTCAATAAGTTTGAACAAAGAAAAATAAAGCACAAAGGGACCTAGTACAGATGAATGTGAAAGAATATCATGGTTAAAAGGAGTTAGGCTATGAGAATAAGTTGGATAAACTAGATTGTTATTCCCTCAAGGATATGACCTAATTGTGACAATTAAGGGAATTGATAACACAAACAGAAAATTGACAATACAGTAGACTGTTGCAGCTGTGCTGATCAAAACCACTATCCAACTGAGTCCCATCTCCCAGCTCTTGATGTGTAACCTTCGGGGCAGCTCCAGTGCATATTCAAATAGTTCTTCGTAATGTAATGAAAGTCTCTGTCTTTATCACAATTTCAGGAAGTGAGATCTAACTTCCCATTACCCACTGGGTAAGAAATACTTTTCATTTTCCATCTAAGTTTTCCACCAATTACTTTAAATCTGTGCTTCCTAGTTGTTGACCCATTAATGGAAATAAGCCCTTTTAATCCCCTCTAAGGCCCTCATAATAATATACACCTCAATAAGGTAGTGAGAAACTTTTTTCACTAATGGCAGGCATTTTCTAAACTTAGAACTAAACTGTTCAGGAACCACTTCTTCACAAAATGAACATATGTTTGTCGGGTGAAGGCATAAAAGAATTTGCAATCAAGGACAGCAGAGGATCTCACATACAAAGCAGAAATGATCTCATTCAACTGACTTGAGGGACTGAATAGCTTTCTTCTCTTTCCCATAAATGCTGGAAATCTGTATTGAAACAGAAAACTCAACAAATAGATTTTAAATTAAGACAGATCCATAGAATCCCTACAGTGTGGAAGCAGGCCATTCAGCCTATTAGGTCCACACCAACCCTCCAAAGAGCATCCCACCTAGACCTTGACCCAGCCCCCTACCCTATCCCTGTAACCCTGCATTTCCCATGGCCAATCCACCTAACCTGCACATCTTTGGACTGTGGGAGGAAACCGGAGGAAACACACGCAGACACGAGGAGATTGTGCAAACCCCACACAGACAGTCGCCCGAGGGTGGAATCAAACCCAGGTCCCTGGCACAGTGTGGCAGCAGTGCTAACCACTCAGCAATTATATGCATACTTGTAACAGGGCATGTGTGTTGACCAGAAGATGTTTAATGCAGTTTTCATTTAAAATGGAATTCTGGTGTAATCGGGAATCTTCACATGTCATGACATCCAAATGCTTGACTTTTGAACTGAAGGACTACTGTTAAGTGAAGAAAACAAGTTTGGATCAATCCAGAAAGAATAACAAAGTAACTACTATCTGTAATTTTCATCCTGATTTTATCTGTGCCTGTCGGGCGAAAACTGGGCCGGACAAGGGGAGTGAGGGGTAGTTAAAATAATGGGATTCAATTATCACTTCCGCCAAACTTGCTTCCTGGAAGCCGAGTCCCATGTTAACCTGCAATGTTTTAAATCCGATTAAATCTACAGAATATGCAATAATTATCCCAAGGCCTGAGTAAGAGGAAGTACAGACTTGACTTCAGCAGGAGCAAATGTAGAACCCTCCCACGCCACAAAAAAACTCAATCACCCCAACGCATATGCAAAATCTGCCTTAGCTCTGAACCTAGTTCAAACCTGCAGCCAGACCTTGCAATAAACATTTCAGGAGTGAGATCAGCTCAAGATCTGAACAGGTCCAAATAGTTAAGGTTTTAACATTTTATTTTAGGCTTCCTTATAGGCCAGGATAGGCCAGAAGTTCTATTTCTCTTATTCTAACTCCCTTGCCTTGGGTTACACCAATTCAACCTTTGACAGATCTTCACCACCAGACAGTGGCTTCACACCCATCTCCCCTGAACCCTGACAGCACTTTTACCCACCCCTCATCCCAACTGGAGGAAAACCCGTTGTTTTCAAAATGGGTTCGCAGCATCGGTGCATCGCTGACTAAGCCAACATTTATTGCCCATCCCCAGTTACCCAGACATTATTGTGGGTCTGGAGTCACATTTAGGCCAGAGCAGATAAGTATGACAGGAGGGGTTGTCATTAGCTTTTTATTGTAGGTTTCTATCAAGTTTGTTTTATTCATTCACAGGACGAGTGCAATGCAGGCGAGGCCAACATTTATTGCCCATCTCTAATTGCTCAGAGGGCAGTTAGGAGCCAATCACATTGCTGTGGGCCTGGAGTCACTTGTAGGCCAGACCAGGTAAGGATGGCAGATTCTTTCCCTAAAGGACATTAAGTGAACCACGTGGGCCTTTCGTGACAATTGGCAATGGATTCATGGCTATCATTAGACTATTAATTCCAGATTTTTATTAAATTCAAATGCCACCATCTACCATGGCAGGATTCAATCCCATGTCTCCAGAACATTACCTGTGTCTCTGGATTAAGCAGTCCAGCCATAATACCCCTAGATCGTCACCTCCCCTAATTTACTTCCAACATTTGCCATGGTTGGATTTGAATCCATTAGCCCAGACCATTAGCCTGGGGTTCTGAATTACGAGTGACATTAACACCATGCCACTACCTCCCACCTAACTAATGGGTTTGGTTGTATTTAGATGGTCAGTAACCTAGACTTAATAGTAGAACATCAGTCCAGATCCCAGCTTAAACAAAAAAAAGCAAATCAGGAAATTAAAAGCAGGGGTGAGTAATCTGGAAGAAACTTGTTGGTCTTCCAGAGCAAGGAGTTGTCCCCGATTGAGTGTTGCAGACTGGCACCTTCCAAGGTCCTGGACTACGTGCTGAGGGACACACTAAAGCTTGGGGGAGCTGTCACCAAGGCACAGAGGGGAAAGACCACGGTCTGAGGTCCTCTGCTGAAGGCAAATCGGGATCCATTCAATTATCGGACCCTCTCTGTGCTTCAAACACACGTAAATATAGTCTTGTCTTGTTCAAGCAAGAGTTGCCTTTGGTTTGTTTGTTGGATAGAGTCAAACTCCAGTGTTTTTTTGTTTCCTTGATATGCTACTTTGTGACTAAATGTGTACTTTTTTATGATTAAAGTACATTTTTGAAGAAAAAGAAAATTGCTGTGAAGATGTTGAGTTGATTCACTACTGTCCCATACAATCCTTACAGTGTGGAAACAGGCCATTTGGCCCAACAACTCTCCAAAGAGCATCCCACCCAGACCCATCACCCTACCATTCCCCATGACTAATGCACCTGACCTCCACATCTCTGGACACTACTGAGCAAGTTAGCATGGCCAATCCACCTAACCTGCACTTCTATGGACTGTGGGAGGAAACTGGAGCACCAGGAGGAAACCCACACAGACACGGGGAGAATGTGCAAACTCCACACAGACAGTTACCTGAGGGTGGAACTGAATCCGGGTCCCCGGTGCTGAGGCAGCACTGCTAACCACTGAACCCACCGTGCTGCCCTTTAGAGGAAGAAATGCCACCTTTATCTGGTTTGGACCTATTAGTTAATCCCAGCCCCCTGTGATTAACTCTCAATTGCCCCCAAAGCTTTTTGCCAACTTCACAGGGCAATTGCCAGAGTTATGAATGCGGATTTTTTTTAAAAAAAATCTACTGACAGGCAAGTCTTCTGCCAGCCTTCTGTCACAGCTGATTGGGCCAGTGATCACAATCGTTTATTTTAAAAGCTGATACCCGTGATTTTGGGATGTTCCAGGCACTTTATGAATGCAAGATAATTTATAAATAGATGCGGAGGCGCCTGCATTCAAGACCAAGTGCACTTTCCAAGCAAAGGGGAGAGCCTTGGGTATTCGATGGGTTAATTACAGCTTGTACAGCTCTCGCCGGCGCTATTGCAAACCCAGCGATTATTAATCATGACTGGGCACTTTAACAAAAAATGGCAGAACTTGTAAAGTGATATAAAAAAAATCCAGACTCCGAACTAATTCGGAGCGGTGAATAGAAGGTAAGAACGAAAAACAAAATCACAGCAAACGCACAAATTATTGCCACATTCAGAAGTTGTTGCGGAAAGAGTTGAATCCTGAAACTCCGCTTTCATTGCCCATTTCTTTATTAAAAGTTAATTTTTGGAACCTCTTCACGGCTCAAAACACCTAATCCCGAAAGGATGAAGAGACAGATCCAGACACAAGCGTGGGCTAATCCCGACATTAAATCGAAAGCATTTCGCGTCTCCTTTTTGGGCAAGGTCGAATGTAGCCAAAAAGGTCAAAGTGACCAAATAATGAAACTGTGACACGTTGAGATTGTGCAGTTTTGCTGTTCACTGGGAATGGGACACAGGTATGGAATTAGCAAGACTGAGAGTGCCATCCCATGTCAAATGTCACTGCAAGAAACACTTCCAACTTTCTGCAAAGAGAATTTAAAATGTGCAACTGATTACAATCAAAAGTACAAAGCAAAACAAAAGCACCACTGAAAATGCATTAACTCAAACAGCAAAAAAAAGGGGGGGGGGGAAGGGGAAGGAGACGACAGACTCCTCATTCTCTCAGGGTGCAGCTGGAAGTACCTTGATGACCCTAACGCTCCGTTTCTTGTTGCTGATAGTTTCGGGGATGTGTTCAGGTAGCTCGGTGAAGGCGTTGCGTACCGCCGTGGATTTGGGGCTGCGGGACGCGGCTTGGGGACTTTGTGAGCCCGCTCCGTTGGTGAGTCCATTCCAGGAGGCAGTGTGCCCAGGCTGCTCACAGCTCAGGATCAGATTCTCCTGATTCAGGGTGGCCAGCACACGATGCCAGCTGTCCCTGACCAAAACTTCTAACAGTCCACTTCTCTGTACTCTGCCGGCTAACGCCATCTTTGTCGCATTCTTAAAATACCACAATGTCCAGAAGTTTATAAAGCTGCGAATGGCTGTAGCCCTTAAGGGCAGATTGGAATTCCTGTTTCTCTCTCTCTCTTTCCACTCCGTTTAGTGCCAAGAAATTCTTAAGCTCGGTTCCTGTTTGAGATGGACAAGTTAGACAACAACAAAAAATCTCCACCCACTTTCTGATGTGCACTATAGAGGGAGTGTGTTGGGACTGGGGGGCGTGGAATGTAACTATATCGCGCTAAAGTTACATTCTCTTGTGTAGAATAAATGACCCAGTCACTGGTTTAAAGGTGTGGGCCGTCAGGTGTAAATTTCAAATTGAAATTGACCCGGGAAATCCCCAGGCTTTAATAGCTGGCTTCACCTCCTGCTTTGAGTGTGTGAGAGATTTTGGGGGGAATAGATTTCTCTAACGATAAAAGCTGTTTCACTTCTTCAATAATCCAAAATACAATTCCACCAGGATCCAAAGTATTGGCGACACAATGCCTGTTGTGTACAGGCTGTTTCAACTTTTCGTCAAAACTGGACAAAAGGTAGAGGTAGGAGATAAAAATGCACCTAATCAGAAACACACGCGCATAAATCATAGTTTAGTACTTCTTTAATTAAAAGAAAATACCCTGTCTTCAAGCCGAAAAACTTAATCCTGTCAGACCTGCCCCGGATTCCACTCTCAGCCCCAACCATAAAAGAGCAGGGAACCTCATTATACCTCGAACGAATGCTGTTCCTCCGGTGAAACTAGGAACACGCGAGAACCGGGATGCCTTAAGGTACACACAAATGATTATAAAAACAGGGTTTGTTCTTGCACAATGTACTGTTCAGGTTGGTACAGGGAATCCGAAGCCAAGATTATTAGAGAACCAGAGTCCCAGGAAAAGCAGACTTGTTTGACAGGAAAGATCACACACCTCTACCAACCACCACAATTTATAATTGCACACATAGCAAACAAGGAGAAATTCCTGAACTGAATGGGAGTCTGTTTTTTGTCTAATGTTGGTTTCTACAGAGGACTACGACACCAAGTGGCTTTAAGAGAGAAGGCGCCTTACACGATACGGGTAGGGCATTTTTTTATGCAAGAATATACTTCGAGTCATAGAGCATGGAAACAGGCGCTTCGGCCCAAACTGGTCCATGGTGCCCACTCAGCTAGTTCCAATTGCCTGCATTTTATCCATATCCCTCTAAAACCCTTCCCATCCATGTACCTATCCAAATGTTTTTTTAAATGTTGCCATTGTATCTGCCTCAGCCACCTTCTCTGGCAGCCCATTCCATATATGCACCACTGTCTGCGTGAAGAAGTTGCCCCTCAGGTCCTTAACTTTCCTCTCTCACCTTAAACCTATGTCTTCTAGTTTTAAATGTCCCATCCCTGGGGAAAAAACCATATGCATTCATCCTATCTATGCCCCTCAATATTTTATACACCTCAATAAGGTCACCCCTCACTCTCCTACATTCCAAGGAATAAGGTCCTATCCTGGCCAACCTCACCCTATAACTCAAGCCTACTAGTCCTGGCAACATCCTCATAAATCTTCTTTGCATGCTTTCCGCTTTAACTATGTCTTTCCTATAACAGGGTGACTTTATTCACAAAAAATCCTTTATGTACATATACAGGCACTAAAGCAATTCTGTACAGTCTTTGCATATCAAGAAAACCAAACATTGGAACCTGATATTCTCTGCTCTTGCAAAACCTAGAGGCATTTCTTATTTCTGCAGAATCTTATTTACGTACATTTGAGGCAACAAGAGGGTCTGACAGCTGAACAGACCCACATTGTACTTGGGCAGAAAGACCTTAGACAGTGGCCTTTTCCCCACTGCCCCAAGCTTTAGTGCATCCCTCAGCACGTAGTCCTGGACCTTGGAATGTGCCAGTCTGCAACACTCAGTCAGGGTCAGTTTCTTGCACTGGAAGACCAACAAGTTTCAGACAGACAAGAACATCTTTCACCAAGTTGCTGGTCCTCCAGGTGGCATTGATGTTTGTCTCAGTGTGCATCCTGGGGCAGAGACCATTGAGCACATAGCCCTGTGTCATGGAGCTTCTTGGGACAAACCTCGACAAAAGCCACTGCACCTGTCTCTTCACCCCTGTCATGCTGCTGACCACCTTGAATTGACCAGACTTTCCAATACCAATGTCGATGAATGCTGAGGCATCGTTCTGTTCCACTTTAGGATCCAGTGGAAATCATGACGGGAAGTGTGCAGGGAATTTAAACTTCCAATAGGCATATACCTGCTGGTCAGACCCTCCACCTTAAACTGAGCTCAATGTTGGAAACTTTGGATAGATACATGGGACTTACCTGGATACTTACCCTACAGTTGTTATCAAGGCACAAACAGTGTAACCCAATCCACCCCAAACCTCCTACACAGAACCCCACACCACTAATCACAACACCGCCCACCTAACTTCCCATCCCACAGACCCACTCACTCCCCTGGACCAAAACTGCCCAAACACCTGACCTAACCTGATCACCCTCTTACGCTTATGAGGGGAAGTGATAGCCTCCACTAGGCTTAGTCCAGAAACACATATTTTAATGCACTGGGGACCTGGATTCAAATCCTGCCACTACAGATGTTGGAATTTGAATTCATTATAAATCTGGAATTAAAAGTCTAACGATGACCATGAATCCATTACCTATTGCCCAGAAAAAGCCATCAAGTTCACTAATATTTTTTAGGGAAGGAAACTGTCATCCTTACCTGGTCTGGCCTACATGTGACTCCAGACCCACAGCAATGTGGTTAACTGTCATCTGGGCAATGAGGGATGGGCAATGAATGCTGGCTCAGCTGGTGATATCCAAATCCCATGAACGAATAATAAAAAGCCCTCTGACTTCAATACTGAGGTTCTCAACCTGGCCACCTCCATCCCAGCTGCACAAACCCCAATATCACTGACCCATTACATCACTAGACCCTCCTAAACCTGAGTACCCACCTTCGCTAATCTGACTGGTCAACACTCACCACACTCCCCCAAAACCCCTGATTACCCACCCTCAACACTCACACTGATCTGACAAACTACCCCTCAACTCGCAAACTAACCCCCCACCCCCTCCTGACTTGACTGCCCACTCTTGGCCCGATTACCACTGCCCAATTCCTTGTCCTTACAACCTATTTCATCGGCCTGATTACCATCCCTAGCTCTCAAATGACCTGATTACAGAGCCTGAATTCTCAGTATCTCTCGGTAAAGGTGAAGTCTCCATAATCCTACTGCACCATAGGGCTGCTGTCTCATTGTACAGAGACATCTGGTGGTGGTTTAACCTGAGAGTCACCACACCTCAGGAAAGGGGACAGGTTGAGAGTAGAGTCCTTCATTGGTAACCTCAGCCAGTACAGGAGTTGAACCCATGCCATTGGTCTGCAACCTGTGCATCTGTCCAGCCAACGGAGCTGACTGACCCTCATCCTTTTACCCAGCCCCTGACCTGACTGCACACCCCAGGATTAACTACCTTGTCCCAACAACACCCTGACCTGGCTACCCACACTCACCGAGTGCACATCCTCAAACCACCTACTGGCCCAAGTACCCAGGCAACTCCCAAAATCTCCAGCACGACCACCCAGCCAAATTGGCTGCTGTGTTTTCTGCATTACAACAGTCACTACTGAGAGAACTAGATGATTAGTTTACAGTGGTCAATTGGCAACAGACATTATGGCCTCTTCTACATAGGGAAACTGAATATAGACTGGATGATCATAAACATTTCAGTTCAGTCCATATGAATGATTTTGAGGTGCCTATTACCAGTCACTTCAATTCTAAGTGCAAACTCTACTCTAACCAACTGTTCTTGGAAAAGTTCAAATTTTTCTGTTTTTGGACTAAATTTTAATTTAGCATTTTTTTTTCATCTTGTCATTTCTAGTACTAAAGTAGGTGCTTTGTCTTTTAGTCATCTAGTACTTAGAGTCATAGAATCACGCAGCACATAAACAGAAGCTTTGGTCCAACTAGTCCACACTGACCATATTCCCGCACTAAACTAGTCCCACCTGCGAGCGCGTGTCCCAAATCCCTCCAAACCCTTTCTAATCATGAATTTATCCAAATGTCTTTTAAAAGTTGTTACTGTACCCACATCCACCACTTTCTCTGGCAGTCCATTCCACACATGAACCACTCTGTGTCAAAAAATTGCCTCATGTTCTTCTTAAATCTTTCTCCTCTCACCTTAAAAATATGCCCCCTAGTTTTGAATCCCCCTGCCCCCCAGGGGAAAGACACTTGTCATTCACCTTATCTATGATTTTATAAACTTCAATAAGGTCAGCCCTTGACCTCCTATGCTCCAGTCGAAAAAGTCCCAGTTATTCCAGTCTATTTTTATATCTCAAACCCTCCATTCCTGCAACATCCTGGTAAATCTTTTCTGATCCCTCTCCAGTTTAGTAATATCCTTCCTGTAATAGGGAAAGCAGGACTGCACACAGTACTCCAGGAGAGGGGCCGCACCAATATGCTGTAAAAATTCGACATGACATCCCAACTCCTCTACTCAAAGATCTGAGCAATGAAGGCAAGCATGTTTAACACCTTCTTAACCACCCTGTCTATAACACAGCCTAGGGCCCCACCATTAATTGTATAAGTCCTATCCTTGTTTGTGTTACCAAAATGCAATACCCCACATTTATCAAAATTAAACTCTATCTGCTACTTCTCAGTCCATTGGCCCAATTAATCAAGATCTTCTTTTTAAAATTCAGTAGACCAGTAATGGATAGGTATTTAAATTGGCAGCATGTGATCAGTGGTATCCCACAAGGATCTGTGTTAATGCTTCAATTATTCATGTTATTTATTAACAATTTCAATAATGGCATTAAAAGGCAAATATCCAAATTTCCTGATCGCATAAACTTACATGGCATTGTAGACAGGGTAGATGATTGCATAAAATTACAAAGGAATATTGATAGACTAAGTGGATAGGCAAAACTGTGGTAAATGGAGTTCAATCTAAGCAAATGTGTGGTTACTTCGACTGAAGTAGGGTAGATCAGGGTACTTTCTGGTATGATGGTATGAAGTTAAATACAGTGGATTTTCATTGGCTATAATGTGAAATGAGACATCATGAGGTCATAAAAGATGCTATAAAAATGTAAGACTTTATATTTTTCATACAGTTGTACAGCAGAGGAAGAGGCCAGTCATCCTACTTTGCTTTGTCACATTCTTAGAAAAGGCGAACCCATTAATCTGATACATCCTGTTCTTTCCTCACAGACGAATATGTACTTACAGGTAGCTGCCTTCAATCGTTATTTTAATGCTGTACATGCCTGTATTATATATAATTTGATTTTATATAAAGTTAGTAGTTGTATCGCAAGAAGTGCAGCAGCCTAAAAAATGGAGAAAATTGGTTTAGCTTGGAATATGTCTTTTTGAGGAGCTGGAAGATACAAAGCTTGGGGGTTCTACAAAATCACCAGTGGCTCTAGATATAACTACACCTTAAATTAACAGTGGGTATTTCAGAATTTATGTGTACTTAGGAATCTACAGTTTCAAACATTGGTGCAAAAATATGTGAAACCATGGTAATGATAGTTAACCTTTGTGCATATGAAGTGTAGGAATTTTGATATCTGACCCAGATAACAAATAATTTTTTAACAGTCAAATTTTGAGAAAAGAACATTATAAAAGAGATGTTATTTGCCTTGATTTCAACACTATTATATTTCAAATATATATTTCCCAATGTG